CAATGTCCAAAACCCGAGCACAACTTGTCGACGCACTGCCAAGCAAGAAGTGTGGAACCAAAGTTCTCAAGTCGATGCACTGCCAACTGACCAAAACAATCTGAGCACAACTAGTTGACGCACTGCCAAGCTAGAGGTGTAGAACGATCTCAACAAAGCCCAAAGGCGACGGCACTAAATGCCGCGACTAAACCAGATGCGGCGAATCCGACTTTCTGATGTCTCAACTCAAACTCAAATCACAGTAGCTACAAGTGCTCAGGGAGCAACTCGTCGCGACCGGGCAGGGGTAGCAGAACTTCTTAGGGTGGAATCACGCGGCACGCAAATTGTACAAAACAATCTGAAATGAGAGTGATTCACAGTCCGGGGGAAAGCTCCTTAATACAAAGAGACGACGTGCTACTTATACTGTCTACGACGCTGCTTAGTAAAGTCCTGTACAACTGCATAGTAGCTACGCTATCTAAGATCGGTTGCCTTTTAGGGTAATTGAAAAGTTGAACGATCGGACAGGTCCTGAGTGATCAGGACCCCGCCCCATAGTCCATATGATACTTTTGATGTGGGCCAACTCACCGCGTCATACTTTTGGAATACGACGTGCTGGATTGGCCAACGGGTATGTCTTGGCATGTGAGACCAACGTGGGCGCCCCAAGAAGCCGTATGGTCCTAGGCACGCCAGTCGTTCCTCACATGGTTCAGTTCACGGATCTAGCCGCGTCGGTCTTAGTGTATTTGGGTATGGGCGCGACTTGCCGTGACACTTGGAAGTGTCACCGCGACGCGTCCACAATGTCCCGTGATCGAATGGATCCTGACATGTGACAGTCGTCACCGTGGCATGATCTGAGGAAACGTCCAACCCAAAACCGGGAGTTGCCGCGACAAGATTGGTTCAATCTCGTAACGCCAAGTCCTGTCCAGTAGTAGTTGTATTATTGAGGACGTTGCACATTGCTCAGCCCTTCAGCCCAAGTTCCCATCTGCAGAGAATGACCCTTTTAAGAAGTTGCCGCAACGAAAGATCCCTTTTGGGGAATGGTCGCGGTCCAAGCGTTCATCACAAATAGCCCTGAGCCTGGTATAGACTCATAAGACCAGTTCCACAGTAGTGGTCTGACTGCCTTGCTATCGTTGACACTATCCACAGTCGTCGACTGGGCAGTAGACCCTTAAGCCCTACTGAACGTAACACTGTCAACCGCGACACGATACACCGAGTGGTTCGAGAGTAAACTCTGTAAAAAGCGCAAAAATACGCCCTTACAGAGCTGGTGCAGAGCGTGTCTGGTAGCCAGCCTATCAGCGCTCGATCAGGCTGGTTACTACACCGTGGTTGGTGACAACAAGGCAATCCTAGTCGCCAAGGATTGGCTCAACAAGGGAAAAGCGCATGGAGATGTCTTGATGACCTTTAAAGCAAGCAATCACTGCTACTGGTACTACCCCGAGGAGCTCGTGGCACCATCCGTGTCTGCATCTCACGAGTCTACTGCGCTCGCTTCCCTGGAAACTACCGATCGTGAATTGTGGCATAAGTGTTTTGGTCATACGGCTCAGAGGACCCTTACTCACTTGCTGACACAAGTTGAAGGTGTTCCCCCCTTGCGACGCAATAAAGACCAGCGCGGCATGTGTGATGGATGTATGCTTCAAAAACAGCACAAGCATCTGTACCCTGCATCAGAGAAACGTGCTAGCAAACCCCTCGAGCTTATCCACACTGATTTGATGGGCCCCTGGCCTACTCAGTGGTTGGAAGGTTCACGCTACACAATTTTGTTCTACGATGATTTCTCAAGCTTTGGCATGATGGTGTTCATTAAATCAAAGGATCAAGCCTCCACTGCAATTGAAAACTTTGTTGCACTCACAGAGCATCAGCTTGGCACAAAAGTACTGGCCTTCCGGTCAGATTGTGGAGGTGAATATATGTCCAATGAACTCACAGCCTGGCTCAATGCACATGGTATTATGCACCCTAAGTCCGGGCCATGCAAACCACAGCAAAATGGGAGGTCTGAACGTTGGAATTGCACAGCCTACAAGAAAGCGGAATGCATGCAGCTTGGTGCCGGCCTATCCAGAGGCTTCTGGCAATGTGCTATGGATGCATCTGTCCACGTTCATAATAGACAACCTATGGCATAATTGGGATGGCAAACACCTGCGGAACTGTGGCTTGGAAAGAAGCCAGACGTCTCTTATTTCCGTGTGTTTGGATGCAAGGCGTCTCTCTATGTGGATGTTGAAAAACGCCCAAAAGGGTTGGAGCATGGACGCTCTGACCACATCTTCGTTGGATACAAATGAGAGACAAAAGCTTGGAAAGTGTGGGATCCGAATCAACGCAAGATACGAATCTCTTCAAACGTCGAGTTTGATGAGCGAGTATTCCCTGCCAAGTCCAAGCTAGTCACCGGCAATGTGTCCTCTGGACCAGAGCCGTTCACACCATTCGAGGAAACCTTCCCTGACCTTGTCAATAATCCTGCGCCTGCAACGCCTTATGCAAGCATACCACCCTCTGCTCTCCCACCGCCACCGGCACCCCTTGCGCAACAAGGTCCTGTCACGGGATTGCAAGAAGTTCCCTTAATGTCTGGCCCAATAGATGATTGCCCGATTGCCCATCGCTGCACTTGTCGGAATAAGCCCCACATTATGCCAGATGGAACTACTCATCAGAGGCCTAACAGCATTGAGTCCATGTTGTCAGCTGCCCAAGCTGAGCATGACTTGCCTCAAAACGTGCGGGATGTAGCAAAGAGCCTGGATGCACTCAAGTGGGAGCGCGCGATGCGCGAAGAACTGGACTCTCTCAAGAAAAACTGTACTTGGGATTTGACCAGCCTTCCACGCAGTCAAAAGACTGTCAAATGCAGATGGGTGTTTAGCAGGAAGCATGATGGTTGTTTTAAAGCACAACTTGTTGCCAAGGGGTTTACTCAGGTTCATGGGTTTGACTATGATGAGACCTTCTTGCCAGTATTGCGCTACAAATCTCTGCGCATACTTATGGCTCTGGCTGTCGCAGACAATACCGCGCAGTGGAGATACGACCAGTAGCGATCACCTATAAGACAGAGTCTCAGCGAGTGTAGAGACACAGGAGCTATATCATTAGCTGTACCTATAAGACAGAGTCTATGGTACAAGTCATAAGTAAGGTCATTAGATCGTAAGGGAGAATGCATACCTCAGCGAGTGTAAGACACAGGAGCTGAGGATATGGAGCGTATAGTACTAGGTTTATATACCAGTCTGGAGCAGATATCATGATGTCATAGTGGAGTAATGATATCATAGATGAGTAATGGATGACGCAATAATGAGGTCAGGTATGAGGTCATTGTGGAGCGAGCCAAAGTAATCTAAGAATACTACTTATGATGTCATGTCTACATACTGTGATAGTCGCTAATACAAACAAGCTTCAACACTGGCTGCTCTCGAAGATTGGGAGATTCATGCCATGGATGTCAAAACGGCATTCCTAAACGGGGATCTGGAGGAAGAAATCTATATGGAACTTCCGGAATTACCCAAAGGTTTCTCGTCATGGCCAAAAGAAAAGGTGGCACGCCTTCGTAAATCACTCTATGGGTTGAAACAGGCGTCTCGTCAGTGGAATATCAAAATCCACAATGCCCTCCTCGAACTTGGTTTTGCTCGGACATACTCCGACGCCGGTGTCTACACATATTGCCAACAAGTGGGAGATACGGTCATCATCTTGGTGCTGTATGTTGACAATATGCTCATTATAGGCAACAATCTGCCAGAGATAGCACAGATCAAATCATTGCTCGCAAACCACTTCAAAATGACAGATCTTGGTCCTGCAAAGGATTTCCTTGGTCTGAACATAGTTTGTGCTTGCAAAGCGCGTTAAATCTGGATCGATCAGGCTTCTTATATTGAAGGAGTTCTAGAACGTTTCCAGATGTCTTCTTGCCAAGAAGCTTGTACTCCCCTGCCTTCTGGCATTGTGCTCAAGAAGCATGATGGAGAAGTTGATGAAGACCGTTGTACCCGTTACCAGCAGTTGATTGGCAGTCTTCTATATGCCATACTTGGTACACGCCCTGACATTGCCTATGCAGTCATCCGTCTTTCAAAAATCAACAGCAACCCGTCAGAACATCATTGGAACATGGCAAAATACATACTCCAGTACCTTCAGGGCACCAAGCACTACCAGCTTTGCTATGATGGTTCCACTGGCGCAGGCCTTATTGGTTATTCTGATGCTGATTGGGCGGAGAACAAAGACAACAGGCATTCCACCACAGGATATTCCTTCTTCATTGCCGGTTGTGCAGTGACCTGGGTTTCTAGATGCCAACCCACGCTTGCTTTGTCCTCAACAGAGGCCAAATACATGGCTCTGAGCAATGCTACACGCCAGATTGCCTGGATCCGCACTTTGTTGACTGAGCTTGGATATGACTTGCCATCCATGCCTCTTTGTGTTGATAACCAAGGCGCTATCTTCATGGCAGTAAATCCAGTTCATGATAGGAGGACAAAGCACATCAACATCCGCTATCACTTTGTACAAGAATCTGTCAAAGCTGGCAATGTCCAACTTTACCATGTGCCGACTGATGCAATGATCTCTGACACGCTCACAAAGTCTTTGGCATGGGTGAAGTTCTAACAGCATTGGCTGTCTTTGGGTCTTTGTGATCGGACTGTTTAGTTGAGTGGGAGTGTTGAAGCTTGTTTGTATTAGCGACTATCACAGTATGTAGACATGACATCATAAGTAGTATTCTTAGATTACTTTGGCTCGCTCCACAATGACCTCATACCTGACCTCATTATTGCGTCATCCATTACTCATCTATGATATCATTACTCCACTATGACATCATGATATCTGCTCCAGACTGGTATATAAACCTAGTACTATACGCTCCATATCCTCAGCTCCTGTGTCTTACACTCGCTGAGGTATGCATTCTCCCTTACGATCTAATGACCTTACTTATGACTTGTACCACAGACTTTGTGTCTTTAGGTACAGCTAATGTATAGCTCCTGTGTCTTACACTCGCTGAGACTTTGTGTCTTTAGGTGATAGCTACTGGTCATATCTCCACTGCACGATATTGTCTGTGACAGTTGATTCAATGAATACAAGCTCTGGAAGTCAGGTGACACATGTCATAGCTCAGCTGGGAGAGCAATATACTGAAGATCTACAGGTCATGTGTTCAATTCATGCTGCTGCCAAGGTGTTGTCTTTCGATCTGCTCTTTGAGCTTTCCAAGTACGAGCTGTTGCATGATGCCTTCCTTCCTTCCCAAGACTCACTGGCATATGTGTCCTACTCTGTGCAACCCTTGGAACATATAATTAAGCATAGTCCTGTTTTATTCATCCGTTCACAGTTTACACCATGTCTCTGCGCTGCAGAGCAAATGAATCAGTGATCGAACACCATGACACGAGGAAATGCAACTCAGCCAGACATTTACCGTTCTGTTTGTGTTCTTGCCAGACCACAGCACACACCTAAGGAACATCCACCACGGAGGGTACCCCCCCCCCCTCCTAAGGGGGTAAAATTGACCCATTTTGACCCCCTAGTAGGGGGGGTACCCTCCGCACTTTTGGCCATCCTCCGCACCAAAGCTCTGCAAATGGGTGCCAACCATCTGCATCTTGCCCTATAAGCAGCTGCAGATCCCTCCGCAACTTGCCCTAAACAAGCTGCGGATCCATCTGCACCCAGCTCTCCCCATGATCATTGTGATGCCATCACACTGGTTGTGTGTGGGCTGTATCATGTGACTCTGATCCAGCGAGGAGCCCTCCGCATTTTTTGTTCTTTCATTATTTCATTTCTAGCCTCTATGCATTGCTCCACTGTAGACTTAAGCCTTCTGTAGCAGATGTATGTGCTCCCTGATGATCCCAGCTCCTCCAAGCTCCTCTGTGTGCAGCAAACAATGAATGGCAATTGAATCAATTCAGTGCTGCGGCTGTGCAGATGCTCTGCATTGATTCTGGATTGCTGAAATGGTTGCTCAAAAGCTTATTTATGTAAAACGAGCTTCTAAAAGGCTTCCAGGCTCCTTAAAACACAGATAGGTCTCTCCTGTGTACACAGCAGCTTAAAAGCATGCAGTGCGGATGCCTCTGCTGCATGCTGTCCTGGGCCAGTTTTGGGCAGGTCCTGCTGAGCATGGGGTCTGTGGACTGCTCAACCTGCACAGCATTGCCTGCAATAGTCAGTGCATCCATCCAGGCACCCCCTGTGTCCACAGCAGCTTGAAAGTGTGCATGTAAAGCACACTATCCAATGTTTCAAGCTCAAAGAAGTTGCTTGGACCAAAAATATTTTCGATTTTGGTCAATGAGCAAGGATAGCTTGGTACTACCATAGGAAACTCTGTTCAGGTCATGGCACTTTTATACATGACAAAAAAGTTCCTTCAGAGAGCTGAATCGATTTCATATTCAAGATGGGGCATATCTGAATAGCATCTGAACAAATTCTGAGCAGGATCGCAGCATCATAGCTCTCTTATGGGCAAGTTTGAACCATCTGCAGATGCATCCGCAAGGTTGACTTTCCAATATTTTGTTCCTGAGAGGGCTATGATGCTGCGATCCTGCTCAGAATTTGTTCAGATGCTATTCAGATATGCCCCATCTTGAATATGAAATCGATTCAGCTCTCTGAAGGAACTTTTTTGTCATGTATAAAAGTGCCATGACCTGAACAGAGTTTCCTATGGTAGTACCAAGCTATCCTTGCTCATTGACCAAAATCGAAAATATTTTTGGTCCAAGCAACTTCTTTGAGCTTGAAACATTGGATAGTGTGCTTTACATGCACACTTTCAAGCTGCTGTGGACACAGGGGGTGCCTGGATGGATGCACTGACTATTGCAGGCAATGCTGTGCAGGTTGAGCAGTCCACAGACCCCATGCTCAGCAGGACCTGCCCAAAACTGGCCCAGGACAGCATGCAGCAGAGGCATCCGCACTGCATGCTTTTAAGCTGCTGTGTACACAGGAGAGACCTATCTGTGTTTTAAGGAGCCTGGAAGCCTTTTAGAAGCTCGTTTTACATAAATAAGCTTTTGAGCAACCATTTCAGCAATCCAGAATCAATGCAGAGCATCTGCACAGCCGCAGCACTGAATTGATTCAATTGCCATTCATTGTTTGCTGCACACAGAGGAGCTTGGAGGAGCTGGGATCATCAGGGAGCACATACATCTGCTACAGAAGGCTTAAGTCTACAGTGGAGCAATGCATAGAGGCTAGAAATGAAATAATGAAAGAACAAAAAATGCGGAGGGCTCCTCGCTGGATCAGAGTCACATGATACAGCCCACACACAACCAGTGTGATGGCATGACAATGATCATGGGGAGAGCTGGGTGCAGATGGATCCGCAGCTTGTTTAGGGCAAGTTGCGGAGGGATCTGCAGCTGCTTATAGGGCAAGATGCAGATGGTTGGCACCCATTTGCAGAGCTTTGGTGCGGAGGATGGCCAAAAGTGCGGAGGGTACCCCCCCTACTAGGGGGTCAAAATGGGTCAATTTTACCCCCCTAGTGTGACAATCAACCCAAAAACAAAGTCGAAAAGAGAAGTGAATTCGAAGACTGGAGAATACAACCAAGTAGCTACAGTATTTATACCCAAGTCCAGTCTGAGTCATATCTACAACTAATGAGTCATAAGGCTATGTACCGCATGGAGCACTGGTCATGGGTTGTAGTAGAACCTTCCGGAGCATATGTCGCGCAGCCTCGAATCGATGAAGATAATCCCTGGAACCTCTAGTCCGGACCGTCTGATGCTGTGATCCGTGATAAGATAAGTCGTGCCAAGATAAGATAAGATCGTTGATGATAAGATGAAAAAGTGGCTGAACTATGACATTACCCCCTCTCTAGGGTCGATGTCCTCATCGACTAGGCCAATGGGTGTGAAGACGTTCTCGTAAGGGTCGAAGAGTTGTCGTTGGGTGTATGGAAGGCGTTCGTCCCTGGGTTTGTAGCGATGGATGAGATAATCCCAATGTCCGGCTTCAAAAGTTGGCAGGAGGCGAATGCGTGTGTCTGGGTTGGATTGTTTCCTCTGCCAATCTCTCAGGATCTTCTTTGCGTGGGTAAGGTGTCGTGATGGTTCCCAGGTGTTCTCGCTGTGCGGCCATCCCTTCCATTTGACCAAGTACTGTTTTCCTCGGCCGACGTTTCGCTCTTTCACGATCTCTTTGACTTCCCACTCCTCTGCTCCCCCGATCATCTTGGCTACGGGTCTCTTCTCTCGGCGGTGGGGGGGTGGCTCGTGGTAGGGTGTCAACAGTGACTCATTGAACACCGGGTGTCTTCGGTCCATGTCCGGCAAATCCAGTTTCCATGCAGCCGCTCCAACCTTCTCCAGTATCTCGTATGGCCCCAATCTCTTGTCGCTCATCTTCTTTGATGGTCTATCCGTCTCGATGTTCTCCCCTTCTATGTACACCTTCATCCCAACCTTCAACTCCGGAACTTCTTTTCTTTGTTTATCGTAGTATTTTTTCATTTTTTCTTTTGCTTTTTCCAATGCTGCTTTTGCTTCATCTTGTATTTCTTTGATTCTCTTTACAAATTCCTCTGCCGACTCGTTCCTTGATTCCATCTGCTGCTCCACTCCCTTCCATGGGTGATATCCGTGATTCGCGTAGAATGGCGATACTTTGGTGGACGTGTTCATTTTGTCATTGTATGCGAACTCCGCCATTCCCAGCCACTCCGACCAGTCCGTCTGATGGTAGTTGACGTAGATGCGGAGATAGTGTTTGATCTCCTGATTCATGCGTTCTGTCTGTCCATCTGTGATCGGGTGATATGCGGTCCCCGGGTTCATTTCCACGCCCAACATCCGATTTGTCTCCTTCATAAAGCCCTTGATGTAACGCGAATCCCTGTCGGTGATGATCTTGCGGGGGATCCCATGGTAGCGGAAGACTCGATCCCTGGTTAACCGTGCAACTCCTTCACTGCTGATGTCAGTACTAATTGGTTCGACATGGATCATTTTGGTGAAGGTGTCACACCACACGTGAATTGCGTCATACCCATTACTGACCGGTAAGGGTCCGATTTGATCCATTGAGATGATTTCCCACGGCGCATTTGGGACTGTATGCGGGTGCAGAGTCCCCGTCCTTGCTCTCCTGGTCTTGGTCCGCTGGCACGCCTCGCACGTCTGGATGTATTTCCGGATTTGGTTCCCCATCCTTGGCCACCAGTAGTTCCTTTCCACCATTTCCTGCGTTCGATTGATCCCAGCGTGTCCGACCAAGGGTGTGTCGTGGTGTAGCCCGATGATCTTGTCTCGCAGTTCCTCATCCCTCGGTACGTAGAGCTTCCCATGGTACGTGATGAGCCCGTCTTCCTTCTTCCATCCGACGAGTGACTTCTCCAAGGCCGCCTTGACGCTTCCATCAATCGATCGAGTGGCCTTGATCTCATCGATTAGCTGCTGATCTTGTCCCTCAAATGTGACTTCTTGTGATCGGAAGAACTCGGGCTTCAGCAGGGTGATGTCCTTGTTGTCGTTCTTGCCCTGATCGTGATCCGCTCGTCAAGATAAGAGGTCCGCCTTGCGGTTGAGTGCGCCGGGCCGGTGTCGTAAGGTGAAATCAAACTCCGCCAGCTCTGTGATCCATCGTGCTTGCCGTCGGTTGAGCTTCTGCGGTTTCCTGAAGTACTCGAGATTTTGATGATCGGTGAAGATCTCGAATGTTTCGGTAGCCCCCAGGAGTAGCTGCCTCCATTCGTCCAATGATAGCATGATTGCGAGCATTTCCTTGTCGTAGATCTCGTAATTTCGCTTGGTTTCGGTCAGTGCGTGCGAAATAAATGCGATTGGGCGCCAAATGCTGTCTTGGTTTTGGCTCAAGACGGAGCCTGTTGCCCCTTCCGAAGCATCGGCTTCCAGACAATATTGGCCGGTGTCATTTGGCAGTGCTAAGACCGCATCCTCCGCGATTCTCTTCTTTAACCCATCAAATGCTGCACGCTCATCCGCACCCCATGACCATCCTGCCTTCCCTGTCAGCCGTGTCAATGGCTTGGCAACCTCCGCGTATCCCCAGACGAAGCGTCGATAGAAGTTGGTGAATCCGAGGAAGGCTTGGACCTGTTTGACGCTCTTTGGCTCTGGCCATTCCATCACGCCCTTGATCTTGACAGGGTCCATTCACATCGAATTGTGTCCAATAATTACACCCAAATATTCGATTTCCGTGCGTTCGAACTCGCACTTTTCGGGTTTCAGGTATAGCTTGTGTTTTTGGAGCAATTCGAGTACTCGTTTTGTGATTCGCCGGTGTTCGCTCAAGGTTTCTGTGAAGATCAATATATCGTCAAGATAAACCACCACGTGACCCTCGTTGATCAGTTCTCGGAGTATGTTGTTCATCATATT